GCCCCCGACCCCTCGACCCCGAGCGCCCCCGGTACCGCCACGGGCTGAGGGAGCGGGACCATGACCGGCTGCTGGATCGGGTCCGGCGCTTCGCGCACCGGCGCTCGGGAGAGCCGCGGGACTCATTCCTGCAGGGGACACAGACGCCTGCAGTCAGAACCATACGACTGTGCTCAGCCTGCATGACAAGTCATTAGGGTCAAGAGCACATCAGTGCTAATTAGTAAATGTTAATTAGTTCATTAATGTGGACATTAAACCCTCAACACACACACTCTTTTTCCCCTCTGGAATCTGGAATCCACAATGGATTCAATTCAATTGGGTGTGGGTTTTTTTGTGACTGAAATGCAATGGTTTAATAATAATTTAATATTTTTCTACGGCAATCGGCGAATACTGTTCTAAATCTCCTGCAGCTGTTCGATAGCCCAGGAAGAGGCAATAAAGCAAGTGTGGTAAATAATTCTTCTAACCCCACCAGCACCCACATCATTCTGACTATAACAAGTTCTCAGGGTACCACCCTGCTGCGTTCGGAATTTACAGTTCTAAATTTTCCCTCTAAAAACCATGAATCCTCTTTTGGAGTGCTGTACTCTTTCACGTTGCTACTCTCCTTCAGTGAACAGTATCAAAAAGCAGCCCTTACAATACAGGCTGGTAGTGCATCCTCTTACAATTTCCAGGAAAGGCTTAGCTGCCCCACAGGAGACAAACGGCAACATAAAAACTTGGTTACTGATAATTGGACTAGCAGGACACTTGCCTCAGATTGGAAATGGCCTCCGGGTTCCAGTCGGGGTACCTGAAAAGGGAAAAACAACTTATTAAAAATATACTTTATATTGCAAACAAAAAAAATGGTTACCAAAAAAGGCACGTTCTGCCCTTAAAATACAAACTAAATGACTTCTCACAAAACAGCAAAACATTACATGCACCAGTAGCAGTAAATTACTAATGTGTATGTACAGTTTTGATGTTCAACAGCTTTGATGTTCAAACAGATTTTTTCTGGGTGAAAAGCTAAATGTCAGCAGGAACTGCTTATGTATTTATCCCAAGTCGATATCGATCACAGACGCACAGAAATGGTCAAGTCTTGCCACAAACTTTCTACCCGATGCAGGTCAGTACTCTGACTGTGACACTGAAGAACATTCGCTTTCTTCTCTTTAAACCTCTTCATGTACATTTTGGAATGGCCTATCAGTCATAGTTATGCTAAAAGGTGAATTTTTATCCCAGCTTTAGGTCTGAAGCAGGGTTTTCCTCCATTTCCCCTTAAATTTGGCTAACTGCCCAGTCTCTGCTGATGAGAAGTAGCACAATGACTATGTTACCAGCACCATGCTTGATAGTAACAATGTCAACTAAGCTGAATCGGGTTGACTATCGGGTGTGTATTTATACCAGAATTTCATTGTCTCATTTGACCATACATTCTTTCCCCATGTTTGCAGTATCGCTTAAATACTTCATTACCAACTCCTGAAAAGGGTTTGCTCTCACTTGGTAGAGTGAACTCGATATTGCCACTCAGGTGTCCGGGAGTCTTCTCCCTTCCCAGCCACTGAACTTTGTGGCTCTTTCAAAGCTGCCACTGGCCTTACAGTGGTGTCCCGCCCATTTCCTGCCTACTCTGCTGGTCAGTCTGGGTGGTACGATATACCTTCCACTTATCATTATCACCTTTCACCATGACTAAAGGGATAGGCTGAGTGTTTTTGAAAGGCTTTTATATTCTCCTCCTGATCTGTGCCGTTCTACAAATTTGTCCCCAAGCTCTTCTGAAAGTTCCATTTCTTCGTGGTTAACCATGCTCAAAATTCACTACGTAATTGAAGAACGTTACAATGACAGGTGTATTTGTTCTAAAATCATAAATTGTGTTCCTTGTCAAAAGTAGTTTTATGCACCTGAACAAAGTTTGCCATAGAACATTTTTTTTTCTTTGCAGCTTTTGCCGACTTTTCACTCACAAAAATGTAGTTTGAGCATTCACGTTTGATAAAAAATATTCACTTTAAAAACTGTATACATCATTTATATTTCAATGAAATGGGACATAATTGGAAGGGGAGGAATTATTTTGCAAGGCAGTGCACACTTACAAGACAGAAACAGTTTGCTAATGATTAATCAAATCCTGGCTCAAATTAGAACTGCAGAGTCCACAGGAAACAACAAATAACTGTAGACTGTAACAGTGAAGAGACAGAACACAAAAGGTTTTAAAGCATTCATGTGCTATTATTTGGTGTAAAGCAGGAAAGAAAATCTGTTTTTTCTGTGACACTCACTGTGACACTCACCCTTAGGCAATTATTGTCTGTATGGTTATGGAAATGCAACTTTGGCTCAAATTACAAGGTAGAACTCACCAAAACTTAGCACATAGAAGTTTGATATACTTACTGTTTGCGCAAGTGTCTGCAGCTGTCAATATGAAGGCTGTTGTTCTGGTGCTCAATCCAATCCTGTCAACCAAGAACATGTGGACACATGATGTTACTCGCCAGGGTCAGCTGGACCAACGCACCAGGATCAGATCATTTGCACTTGTACTTCAAAGGAAGGAGATAATCCTCAACATTTTAATACCTCGATTTCTAATATCTCTTGAAACACTTGATTCAGTGAACATTAAAGTCAACTTTTAAAAAAGAAACATGCTGCTAACACACATACACACTGACAAACCAACAAAACGACAAAAAATAATTTGCAATGTAGCTTTACAGACTTTTAACATATTCTAGGAAATGCTATGGTGTTTATACCCATCATGCACTGTAATGAAATACCTTGCACCTTTGTCTGAGGGCTGCTTCAAAGCATAAACAGCTGTCCATTAAATTCTGCAATATGTTTGACATTCAATCTAATAACTCTGGCAGTTCTACAGGAGCAGAAACCACTTTGAAAAAGGCATCTTACCATTCAATGTTAAAAAAAGCCCCATACATAAGGTACACAAAACATAACAGGAAACGATTCCTTCATATGGGACATATGACACCGCTCCTGCTCAGATTACATCATATTTTATCCAGGGAGCACTCCTGATTCCTATTCAAACAGCCAATTTCAATTCTTACTACAGATTTTCTGATAGTTGTAGGGGAAAACAATCTGCAGTTACTTTCTTCCATACTTTCATTTTTCAAAATACTGCAAACAAAATACACAAAACATATTAGGAAATCCCAGAATTCATCATAAAAAACTGCTCACTGTTTTCTGAAAAACAGGGAGACCACAAGATTTCTTTAACTCAAAGGGGCACAGATAATGTCAATCTTCAATTCTCATCCAAGTGTCCAGCTAATGTTTCATTAGAGATGTATGACTTTGTCATGTTGTCAACAACAAAACTTTTTAATCTGTCACATCAACACATTCTTGAGTTTTGTTTCTTAAAAATAAACATTGGACAGCAGTGAATTTACTGGCAACTGTTTGGAATTTTTTTTGCAAAGAGTCTGCAAAAAAAAAAAGGTGTGCTTTTCCTTTAGTCATCAGGATCCTCCATTTTACTACTATGTATTTTTTCGCTTTCTTCCTCTACAAGCAGTTTTTTCATCCATTCATCATCTGGTCCTCAGAGAGAGAACCTGCACTGCCTGCAGTGCTCTTCTTTAGCCAGCAAACGCCAGGGACCTGACAGCAATATAGGCAGTGCACAGCTCCCAGAGTTACAAGGATCTCAGGGTGTTTTCCCCCTAAATTATAGAGAACGGGGGGTTTTGATTACACTTTGTGCAGGACCTGTGTTCACGTAAAAAAAGTTGAAATAATTCAGCGTGAACACACGATTCCTGCTACCAAAATCATCGAGAACCAAGTCCAATTCTTTTCATGACTGCCGGTCCACATCTTCCTTCTTCCTTGTCTGGACTCCCTGGCGAGAAGACGACCTCCAGCTTCAGTTTTCTCCAGCGTTCATATCCAGAACACACAAGCTGGCAGGCCTCCACAGCTTATGGAGCTCTGTCACGACGCGTAGGGCGGACTGCTTTTTATTTGTTGGGACAACCGTAAGAAAAATGTCAATAATTATCTAGGCTATGACAACTCTGAACCTGCTTGCATACATCAGAGTTTAAAACATGTTTCCAAATCTCATGTAACAATTTCTGCAGAATTTGTAGACAGCAGGTTGTCCTTTAGCTTCTCTTCCGATATGCTGTTCTTCTTTCTTCCCAAGCGGACATCTGAAAGTTACTTGCTTGCAGCTTTCAAAACCAAAGGAATCTACAGAAAACTTTTTTCCTGGGATAATGCTTTACTGGTTCTTTGATAATTTTTCCATTAAAAAAATCAATTGAATCGCAATAACATAATTACACCTTTTTGTTTTTTTAGGTCTTTATTAGTATACACTGAGCTGCTACTGAACGCTTGATCTAAACGTGTCAATACCCAGCTCGGGGGTGTGGGGGGGGACTAATTTTACCACTGAAAGTTCCAGCATCGCATGTCAATTAACATACAGAGGAGACTCACAAATGCTCAATCTAACAACACTGACTTTCCCCCATAGAGAGAAACAAAGTTCAACTTCCTAATTTGAAAACGCCATACAATGTCAGTGTCATTGACAACTAAACAGGGAAACAAAGCTAAAACAAAGGAAAGCAGACACTCACCTTCATCACCATACATTCTACGTTACACAGAGAACAAGTATGGGGAAAGATTCTCGGGGAGGCAGCGTAGTAATCATTCATCATGGTTGGAGTAGGCAGTCTCTTGGCAGCTGAAGAGTCGCTCAGGGGGAAGGGTGGGGCCCAGGCCGTTTTCTGCGCGAGGTAACCCGGCTTCACCACTCCACTGCCTTCCACCAGGCCGATGGGATTGCTTCTGGACATGCTGGAAGAAGGGGTGGCCATGCCGGGCGCCGCTGGCTTTTGTGAGGCAGGGTCTCTCGCTCTCCTCGATTGCTCCACTTCACCGCCGGGCTGTTTCTTACTCGCGTCCATCGGCAGCTTCTTAGGCAGAGGCAGACCGCGACCCTTCCCGCTCGAGAAAGAGGAGCTTGACCCCTCCATCGGAAATTTCGAGGATGCTCCAGAGGAAGCAAAATCTGCCTTCGCCATTTCTTTAGCCAAGTGCTCCCGTTTGAAGCCGTCCCGGCCGCCCTCGGAGTAGCCGAACTTGCTCGAGTGTCCATAGTCAATGACCTTGCTCTGGCGAGGCTCGCTGCCTAGGCGCTCTTGGGTACCAGATCTAGCTTGTGACTGCTCGACCTCAGGAAAATTTATCTTCGACTTCCTGACCCTGATGTCCCGTAAAATGAATGGCAGATTGTCTGGAGTAAGCTGTTCATCCGGGTAGTGGCTCAGCAACTCCAGGTCCTCGTTTGACAGCCCAAAACTGGCCAGGATGCTCGTAGCACTCTCTGTGGTGTACCTGTGTTGCTGTCTCTCTCCGGGAATCAGTACTGGCTGGTTCTCCGAACCTCCTCTCTCTCCTTGCATCCTCTCAGGTGGACCTCCAAACCCAGAGGATGGGAAAACCTTAGTAGACGGAGCTGGCTGCGTCAGCATCTGCGATGAAAAGAGCTTTGTTTGCGAATTCTGATAGACGGACCAGTCTGGGCCTTGGTCGTCTGCTCTGTTGGCCACACTCTGCCCAACAAAGCCCGGCCCTGCTGGCAAGATATCTTCTCTTGTCTTCTTCCGCAGGCGGGGATCCATTTTCTGCTGCTGCAGCATCTGGTTAAGCATTCGGACCTCCTCTCTGGCCCCACGGATGTGCATGTCTATAGAGGATTCCAAGTCCTGAGACACTGGTGCGTTGCGCTGGGGCAACTGGAAACCCATCTGCTGAGGCATCATCTGGGACATCATTCCTGTGGCCCCCATACCCTGAGGTCCAACGCACCCACCACTCATGTCCATCCCAGGGGGGTTGCTCATGCCAAACTGGGTGGAAACCAAGGGTCTCTGGCTAGGGAAGGGGCCTCTGGGATTGTACATTGGGTGAGACATGGTGACCTTCAGCAGGTTGAGCAGTGACAAGGCGGGAGAAGTGTGGTTACCAGAGGTGACCGCGTTCAACTGGTGCAAGGCCAGCTGTGTCTTAAGCTGGGCCAGCTGCAAAGATGGGGGGCCCAACAGTAGTGGGCTCCCAATGCCAAAGTTCAAGGAATTCGCAACAGGCACACAACTTTCCAAGAACAACGCAAAGCTGAAAGTTAAAAAACAAACAGGATTATTGAATTTCCCCTCCTCTCATCTCCCAGCTATCACAGGCGCTCCGATTCGAGTCAGGATTCACTTACAAAAAAAAAGAATAATTTCTGCTTTTAATTGGAGAACAACAACAAAAAAAAAAGACAGGTGACATTGCCCTGGTTGGAAAAGAAAAAAAAAAGTATTTCATAGACACAGCTTATGTAGCCAAAACGACCAAAATCGTGAATGTATCTGAAGTCCAGAGAAATGTTAGCAATGCTTAATAAGCAACCTAATTCACAGGACTCTTAGCTTCCCATGCAGAAAAAGCACTAAGAAAGACATCTTATACTAAAGGGCATTTACAAAAACGATATAGGCCACTTCATAAGCCTTTTTCAATTTGCCACAACTATACTGAAACCAAAGGAGTAGAGAGACTAGCTTGCTCATGTCAGACTCTGTATTCCTTAGTGCTGTCTTCTGTTTGTAGGCCAGCATGTTGTTTTTGAAACACTGCGAGTTCATAAAACTCAGTACCTTCCAGCTTATACTTCCAATTCCACTGCTGCTGTGACTGGGGCCTGGCTCTGCACCCAGCCAGGGAAAAAAAAAAAACTATTTCAGAGCTTTTTCCAAGCATGGCTGAAGTGAGGAGATCTTGTGGAAAAATGACAAGGGTTGATAGGATACAGTACTGTGGTACTTTTTATAGAAACCTGCAGGAGAACTACTTTCAGATAAACTGCCTCAGGATGCAAAGTTATTGGAATTATTCTCATTAATATTTTGGCATGTGGCTACAAAGATCATTCTCACAGCTCCTGCAACATGAACAGTTTGTAAAAGTTACACATTAACTCTGAACAGAATATTCCAATTTTTACATTGCTAGTTAATATTTAATGACTACGGTGAATATTAATCAAAAGAAAGTAGGTTTTACCATGCAAGAAAACACATTTATAATCCCATTTTGTCCTAAAGAGTAGTAGTGACTATGGAATCACTCCTCAAAAAACATACAGTGCCTTCAGAAAGTATTCAGACCCCTCCACTTTCTCCAAACTTTGTGTTGTACACTTATTTCAAAATGGATTGAATTGATTCTTTTTTGCCATATTGTGTCAACTCACAATATCCCATAATGACAAAGTGAAAACACGTTTTTAGGAATGTTTGCAAATGTATAAAAAATAAAAAACTGAGATCTCTCATTTACATAAGTATTCAGAACCTTCATTATGACACTCCACATTGAGCTCAGATGCATCCTATTTCTTTTGATCATCTTTGAGATGTCTCTACAACACGACCATAGTCCACTTGTGGCAAATTCACATTGGACAGGATTTAGAAAGGCACACACCTGTCTTTATAAGGTCCTACAGCTCACAGTCCATGGCAGAGCAAAAACCAAGCCATGAAGTCCAAGGAACTCTCTGTAGACCTCCGAGATTGTGTCAATTAGGCATGCACCGATATGGAATTCCTGGGCTGATAACGATAACCAATAATTAACAGTTTGTTGTGGCCGATACAGATACCAATAACCAATAATTTTACTTTTCTGCATTCTAAAACGACTAACGCCATAAGTCCATATGTCAGCTGAACAGAGCCGGCAAGGCAACATCAGAAGAGCAGCGGTGGCTTGGGAGAGTATAACAGGGTTCCAAACGCTCAATTAGTTGATTGAATCCTCGATCCTCCACAGTCGAGAAGGGCTGGTCATCAAGTGCCGTGAACTCCACAATTGTGTCTGTGACTGCTCTAGCCCTCGGACTGTCCTTGGCAAATTTTCTGCAATGTTCACATGCCTGTTGGATAGGCATCGCTGCACTTAATACTGTTTTGGCTTTCTCACTAATGCCTCATATTCTTTAAATAAATCACTGGAATGACGAGTTTTCAATTAGACTAATTCGATCAGTGGTATTGAAGCTCTTTACTTTGTTTCCTCCTCGCCATACTTCGGCTGAACATTTGTTGCACATTGCGATTCTGTTGTCCTCTGTTGAAATGGTGAGGAAGTTTCACACCGCCGACACTTTCACTCTGCAGAAGCTGTTCTGGACCCAGTCTGGTGCGTCAGCGCGCGCATAAAACACATGCTGCGCGAACAGAAACAGGGCGCCGCCTTATTAGCTGTAATTATTGGCTGTAATTCCAATATAAGACAGATAATTAAATTTTCCTATTTATCGGAGAAGAATATATCGGCCTCCGATACATCATTCACCCCCTGGTGCCAATGCATAGATCTGGAAAAGGGTATAAAAAAATTGGCAAGACATTGAAGGTTCCCAGGAGCACAGTGGCCTCCATCATTGTCAAATGGAAGAAGTCTGGAACCACCACAACACTTCCTAGAGCTGGCCGTCCAGCTAAATTGGGTATACGGGCAAGAGGCCCTTGGTCAGGGAGATGACCAAGAACCCAATGGCCACTCTAACAGAGCTTCAGAGTTCCTGTGTAAAGATGGGAAAACCTGCTGGAAGGACAACCATCTCTGAGCCCTCCATCAGTCAGGTCTCTATGGTAGAGTGGCTAGACGGAAGCCGCTCCTGAGTAAAAGGGATATGACAGCCCGCCTGGAGTTTGCCAAACGGCACCTAAAGGACTCTGAGAGCATGAGGACAAAGATTCTCTGGTCTGATAAGACACAAATTGAACTCTTGGGCCTGAATGCCAAATGCCATGTCTAGCGGAAACCAGGTCGCACACATCACCAGGCTCATACCATCCCTATCGGTTGCAGCATCATGCTGTGTGGATCCTTCTCAGCGGCAGGGACTGGGAAACTGGTCAGGATTGAGGGAAAGACCCAAATACAGAGTGGTCCTTGTAGAACACCTGTTCCAGAGCACACACAACCTTAGACTAAGGCAAAGATTCATCTTTTAGCATGACAATAATCCAAAGCACACAGTCAAGATAATGCTGAAGTGGCTTTGGAACAAGTATCTGAATGTCCTTGAGTGGCCCAGCCAAAACCCGGACTTGAACCCCATACAAAATCTGTGGAGAGACCTGAAGATTGCAGTTCACCAACGCTCCCCATCCAACCTGACAGAGCTTCAGAGGATCTGCAAGGAAGGATGGGAGAAACTGCCCAAATCCAGGTGTGCACAGCTGGTAGAAGCATACCCAAGAAGACTCGCAGCTGTAATCGCTGCTAAAGGTAGCCCTACAAAGTACTGAATAAAGGGTCTGAATACTTATGTTAATGGGAGATTTCAGTTTTTTATTTATTTTTTATTTATTTATTTCAAGAATCAATTCAATCTAGTTTGAAATAAGTCTACAACACAAAGTTTGGAAAAAGTGGAGGGGTCTGAATACTTTCTGAAGGCACTATACATGATGTTTAATCGACTTTGCATACATTAACAGAATTAAATAACTTTAAAAGGGCATCATCTTAAGATCTTGGCATTCATTCAACTGATATCGAAGAAGCTACACATAATTAAATTAATGTGCATTCACTTAATGAGTTGTCTACAGATCTACAGACAGAAGACAAAGTTCAAATATCAAGTTTGTGAGAACCAAGCCCACTGACTGTTTGCAGTGTCATAGACAGAAATGAGATAAACCAGCAGAGCTGTTCTACACTTTCAGCTCCCACCCCTTCACAGCACTGCATCACAGGAATCAGAAGGAGTCCTGCTGTGGGTTTCAATCTCTATAATGTCAAATCTGCCACAACACCAATTTCTATCTTTGTCTTTTTGAAACTGATTTTTTTTTTAAACACGATTCATTTGGACAGGTTTAAAGAAGACCCATCCTAACTAGCACTTTAATGTATGATCAAAATTTTCACTTCGGTCTGTTAAGAATCATTTTGGCCAAAGTAGGTTCTAAAAAACACCTGTTTTCATGTATATTTATCAGTGGCCAAAACACGGGAGACTGCTGTACGAAGCATTCATATCTAGGGTTCCATTGTGAATGCCTGTCCAGAAAAAGACTATTCCAATGACCAGTTGTCTCGATTTGGTAGCTGCAATTTTCATGATTAAGCCGGGACTGATAAAAAAAACATGAAAAGAGCTGCCTTTAATTATTACAAGAACCTATTTCATAGACAAGTCAAAAGACGTGACAGAAGTAGGAGACAAATCTACAGTTCAAGTCATTAGCAAAAAGAAAGCAGATGTTTGGAACTGAAGAGTTGTACATGTAGCAATATACCAAACCTCAAAAACAATAAGGAAAAACAGAGCTACTCAGGTGTTGAAGTTCCAAAACCCTGACTGATTGATAATCTTGCACACTATGGATATATTCTCAGACTAGCCCTTGACGACTGAATGAGCCAAGCCCAGTGCTGGCCTAAAACTATGTCTGCAAGTTGTCATTCCAGCTCAATTTGTAATGACCCCAGTCAACTGATAACTAGCTTAACTGAGTTCTTTGAGTTCTTCCCAGATTTCAAGCCATTACTGATTTAAAGAGGCCTATAAATGCACAAGACTGTGGTCCTGCAGAAATCGAATTAGACTCTCCTGTTTTCAACCATTTCTGATTCCACAGTCGCATCAGCAACCCCCTGCTACAAGACAAAAAAACACCAATAACTTGTCTTACAAAAACTGCATGCATACACTTTTACGTTATCTGGTTTAATCCAAACGTAATTTTGCAAGGTCGAATGGTAGATTTTGAAACTCCAACATCTTCCACAGTATTACAGCAATCAGAGATTAGGAAAAACAGAAAAGCTAGTGAAAACTGGAACTCGCCCAGGCGTCGTGGGTTCGAGTCTGACTGTGACTGGGATCCCTCCCCCTAGCTGGCTGGGAGCCACCAAGGGTGGGGTGGGGTGGCATTATTCAGGGAGAACTCTCTCAGATCCCAGGCAGACAGTCTGCAACATCCTGGATGCCTGTGTGGAGCTGAAGGCGAGGGACAAGCCCCTCCTCCAACCGGTGCGGGACATCAAGCTGTGGGACCTGTTTGAGTGTCAGAGTACTCTCCCCTGTCTGTGTGCATGGAGGACAC